GGTGCCTTGCGGGCCGGTTCCCCGGGCTCCTCCCCTCTCCGCGGGCCCAGTAGTTGCCCTTTGGCCCGGCAAGCTAATCATCGCGGCCCAATGACGACGAGGCCCGACCCTTCCCGCCCAGGACCGAGAGAGACTACTGACGGGGAGCCCAAGGCGGCATCATTGCTGTCGCCTCCGCCGCAGCTGCAGCAACAGTTCCCGGGGTCAACAGAGACACCTGCTCACCTCAGCTTTCCCCAGCGCCCGGCCCTCCAGGACGGCACCTAACAATCGGCACCCGCATCTGGACTTGGCTGGCGAGATACTGTGTATCTAAAGGCTCGGGACCTGGGGCCATCGAGGTCGTGGGGACCCAGGATCCAGGGAACATGGGAACCGAAGTCCCAGCTTCGGAGCAGACCAACTGTGCCAAAGGGGATCCACAGGTGTATTGTCCTGAAGATACTGGAGGCACTGAGGCTGTGGAGGTTACTGACTGCGAGAGACCTGAGGACAGTCGATCCCAACATGAGTTGGGCTACAGCAATCCAGAGGACTCTGGGCAGCTGATGGCTTCCTACGAGGGTAAAGCTAAGGGCTACCAGGTGCCTTCCTTTGGCTGGCGCATCTGCTTGGCTCATGAGTTTGCAGAGAAGAGGAAACCTTTTAATGCCAATGACATCTCCCTAAAAAACCTGATAAAGCATCTGGGCATGGGCTTGAGGTGAGTAGATCCCATTGCCTAGAGTACCATAGGCTTCACTGTGTTCCAGCACAAGACTTCCAGCAGGGTTGGGGAAGGGTGAGAAAGCAGGTTTGTGCCTTGTCCCAGTCAAGTGGCCCCTATCCCCAACATATTCTGAGCCCTGATTTTGGAGAGTGAGACCAGGTCGCACCTTTTTGCAACCTTTTACTCCCCATAAATTGTCTTTTTAGCAGGAAAGAGTAGAAGCATCAGGGCTGCTGCAGTCAGCCTTTCTCATTAAGCTCCCTCTCACTCCCTCTTTCCAAAGACTGCTCTTTGGAGTTAGCTATATTTTGCGGTAGGACGGGAAAGGATAGTGTGGCTGCTGAGATACTGACACAATGTTGTTTTATGTGGGACGGGGTGGTTCTCAGATTCTCCTGAGCATCTGGAGTATTCTCTATACCTCATTTAGGCGCACCACATTACAGTCCAACACTCATCAAGCTTTAGTTCCAAGGAGTCGGTAAGAGCCTGCCTGCTCTCTCAACCCTAAGGAGAGGGTGATGAGAAGTGCTGTTCACTCTACTCAGACAGGTCCTGACATAAAAAGCAAAGACCTTTGATCAGAGCAGCACTGTCATAGGTGTCTCCAAAGCTCTTGGGAAGTCTTCGAGCCTGCCTTGGTGACCTCTCCCTCCACACTCTCTACCCAAAGATTGCAGACACCCGAAGAGCTTATTCTGGGCTGTAGAACTCCTCTGGACCCCTCCAGATCCCCACCAAGTTCAAAAACTAGTGATGAGAAGCTGAGACCTATTAGCAGGAACAGGTGGATGTGAGGACAAAAAGCATCACCCTGAGGTCATCCTGAGTCAGTCCATACAGTAAACACAGAGCCAGGCAGGGAGGCATAAAGGTTGGGAAACCCAGCCCTGACAGCCTTTAAAGGGATCCTTCCCTACCCTGGCCTGTGTTGCTCAGTGGTTAGAGCATCATCCGCATGCACCAGGTCTCAGGTTCGATTCTCAGTCGGCGCGTGCATGAGAGGCAACCTATAGATGTTTCTCATATCGATGTTTCTCTCTCCCTCTCCCTTTCTCTTTAGAATCAATGAAAAGACATATCCTAGGGAGAGGATTTAAAAGTAAATAAATAAAGGGGTACTTCCCTTTCTCAGTCAGTACTATGGGACTGGGGAGTCCATTTACCTAACTCCAGCCCTGGGCAGTGGGAAGGGCCTTGCCCTCCAGGCTGCTTCTGAAACTTACCCAGCCTAATCTTTGTGTCAGAATAGGGCTAGGTTGCTAAGAGAAGCACACTGGGGTGCATGTGGTGGGGACATTGAAGTCAAGAACAGGTGGGGTCCTGGCCGGGTGGCTGTGTTGGTTGGAGTATCATCCCATACACCAAAAGGTTGCAGGTTTGAAACATTCCCGGTCAGGACACATACCTAATTGGGGCACTTATGGGAGGCAACTGATCAGTGTTTCTCTCTTACATTGATGTTTCTCCCTCCCTCCCTCTCTCTCTCTCCTCCCCTTCCTCTCTCTCTAAAAATCAATAAAAACATATCCTTAGGTGAGGATTAAGAAAAAAGGAGAGGTGGGTATCCTAGCCCCTCTCTCCCTATGTATGAGCTGAGTCATAGAAGCCTGAAGCTATGCTCAGCCCCCTGGACCTTGGCTTCCCAATACCAGGATAGGGTGGTGGCCATTGACACAGGGCTTTTGGAATGGGATGAGGTCCTGTACTGAGGAGAAAGCAGGAGTGAGACAAGGAAGAATTCTGAATGATAATTCTTAAGTTGGGGCTGAAATTATGAGGAAGGCCAAATAAATGAAGAATGGCCAACTGCTAAATTAAGGGAGTGGGAGAAAGGCAGACTCTAAAAGAAAGCTGAACTAAGGATACTCTAATCAGGAGCTCCAGCCTGGACAGTGTGGCTCAACAGTTGAGCATCAACCTATGATCCAGGAGATCACGGTTCAATTCCCAGTCAGGGCACATGCCTGGGTTGCCGGCTCGATCCCCAGTAGGGGGAGTGCAGGAGGCAGCCGGTCAAAGATTGATTCTCTCATCATTGATGTTTCTGTCTCCTTCTCCCTTCCTCTCTCTGAAATCAATAAAGATATATATATATATATGTATGTATGTATGTGTGCGTATATATATATAAACAAAATATATATATATATGCACACATACATATATATATATATATTTTGTTTGTTTGTTTCTTTCTTTTTAAAGAGCTCCAGCAAGACAGAGTTTTCTTGGCCTCAGTGTGATAAGAACTCAATTTTGATTGCTCTCCTTTCCAGAGTCCATTCATTCAGTAAATATTTATTGAGTGCCACTTCTATGCTAGATATTCCTTTGTTCTACCTATCCTCATACCTTGCATTTCCCCATCGCTGCCCTAATCCCCACTGCATTCCTCTTTCCCTTCACCAATCCTTTCTGGCCTCTAGTTTCAAAGTCCAGTTTCCTCTAAGCTGGTAGGGAAGATCTCCTACCTTCCCATCATCTCATCCTTTGTCTTCCCTTCCTTTCCTCCTACCCCCAGAACATACCTCCCTATTCCTGAAGCACATTTCTTCTCTCCTTGCTCCTGTCCGTGTTCATCTCTCTTATGCTCCACTGTTTGTACAATCATATGTAAATTCAGCAAATATTTATTGACTAGCCCATGTGCCCTGCCTGTGCTTGAAGCTATGGATAATAATCAACTAGTCTTTGTCACTGTCCCTTTCCCCAAGGAACTTAACAGTATGTCAGACTCACATGAGGAACGCAGAAATAACGACAGTGTCGGATTGGGAATTGAGATAGTGTATGTACAAGTAATGATCATACTTGACACAGGTATTCCCCTTTATGTCCTTCCTATCTATTATGTCATTTGCTCATTCCATGAGGTAGGTAGGGCAGGAGGTATCCCCATTTTGTAGATGAGGAAACTGAGGCTCAGAAGGGTTACTTACACAATTACATGGTTAAATGTGTTGTGCTTGGATAGTGGGTATAAAATGGCTGGGTAGGAAGGAGAGTAGAATTGGGAGAGTCTCTCAGGGCAGGGGTTGCTTAGTGAGGACCCACCCTGAATTGGAATTTGTAGAAAGTAAAATTGGAAAATGATCTAGGACAGATGTCATTGAATCCCAAACAATCATTTTCCTGTGGGA